AATTAAGCCGGGACGGAGGGAATATTAGTTGTCATAAATTTTTTCATTTTGAGTGAATGGTAACAAAATGATAGAAAAATTGTTATAAACCCATAATTACATATACATCAATACATGTGTAATGGTTGAATTGATATATAAAATCACAAAAATGCATTCATTATGAATCCTTTTATTTTCTTGCAACTTATAATTTATGTAGTGGGGTACTGCATTGGTAATTTTGGGGTTTTGGTTGAGCGCGACACATAATTTCTAGTCTGAGACTGACAAAGTGGTTACTGTACTTTACAAATATTGGGTCTGGTTTACCTTCTTTTTATTGGAGCCTGATCCTAATTATAGAACTTCGGGTTGAACACAATAAAATATCTTGACCTACCTGTGCATTTCTACAAAATCACATGCTCTCTTAGTTTTAACTAATTATTATGTTTGCTCCATTTGTGTAGGTCCGCAGTGAGAAAAAGAAGAAGGCTGCAGCTGATGAAGAAGCAAATATCGCTCTTCAAGAGTATGAAGCATCATTGAATGCGTTGAAGGACAAAAGTGTCGCTGAAACTCAAGAAGCGAATGTTTTGAGTGGTAGGAGGGTCTTTGGGGCTTCCAAGAAACAGGTTCATCCAAAACCTAGTGATACAAAGAAGATGAAAACAGATAATTATTATGACGACAGCGGTAGTGAAAGCATGGACGGTGATGAAGTAAAAGATGATGGGCATGCCAACAAGAATAATGCAACTCAAGATGTTTCTTTCCATCCTAATCTGCTTTGTGAGGAGCCTGAGATAGACCATTATCCTATTTTAAAGGTGATTAAATTTCTGAAATTTGCAGGGCGGTAACTACTACTTTAATGTAATTAACTGTTTATATTTATTTTTACTAGTATTCTTTAATCAAGTTTATTTTAAATTTAAGGGTGATGTTAGTTTTACCTTTTATGAAATTTCAGAGTTTTGAGGATATTGTTAAAAACCCTGGGCCCAAGACAACATATGAAGTAGCAATTATTGCACCCAAGGAAAATAAAAAGGTATCCTTTGTTGCCTTCATGTGTTTAGTTTTTTTTCTTTTAAACAAGCTTTACGTATGTACTTGTTTGGGTAATCTGCAGATGAAACACTTACCAAATAAGAATGAACATAAACTCTCAAGGAATGTCTCTGCTGCTGACACTAAAGAGACCACTTTATCTGCAGTACAAGAAGGCAATGCAGAGGTAAATATCCTATGTGCAATTGCCATGCACCTCATTACCCTCTTACCATTCAGTGCTTGTTTGCCAGAGGTTATCTTGCTGAATTTTCTGAAAGGAACAGCATTTGTAACATCCAGTTCACCCATATCAGACTAAGCCTTATATTTTTCAATATTCCTCCGGGAGTGTTTCTTCATTTATTTAAGTTGCTATATAAGCAGGAAATGGATGATGCTAGTGATACAGACAGCGGAGGACAAATGGTTGACGGGATGTTATGTTCAGGCGATAAGTCAACTTATAAACTCCCATCTCAGGAAGAACTTATCCGTCGTGCTTTTGCGGGTGATGATGTTGAAGATTTGTTTGAGAGAGAAAAACATAATATATTGAGTGAGGAAGTTCCAGAACCCGAAAAGCCCACTTTACTTCCTGGATGGGGTCAGTGGACAAGTGTACAGAAAAAGAAAGGTCCACCTTCTTGGATGCTTGAGGAACATGAGAATGCCAAAATTAAAAGGGAAGAAGCGCTCAAGAAAAGGAAGGATGCCCGTCTTAAACATGTTATAATCTCAGAGAAGTCAGACAAAAAGGTGTTTTTTTATTTCCATCATATGTTTCGTTCTCTTTCCAAAATTTGAAATTCTCCAATGATTTAGGTCCCATTTTGTAAGTTTTATTTGGAAGAAATGGCTCCATCTGCTAATCCTTTTTGTTATGATTATTTTACTGGTAGAATAAGGTGTTTAATGCTCCCAAACAGGGCCTTAGAGTGCATTTGGGATAACTTATTTTCAAATAACAAGTGTTTTTGGAAGAATTAAAATAAATACTTGTACCTACAAAATTTGTTTGGCTAGGGAAATGGAAGCAATGCTTTTAATTGAAAACAGCAATTTCATGCCTATTGAAGGAAGTGCAGATTGGAGCTTATATGTATATTGACCATTTATTCTCTATTCAACAATGCCTATATGTTTTGACAGGCTGAGAAATTACACACAAAGACATTGCCTTATCCCTTCACATCCAAAGATGTATTTGAGCAGAGCATTAGGATGCCAATTGGACCTGAATTCAACCCTGTAACAGCAGTTGCAGCACTCAATCGGCCAGAGGTGCTAATTCCTACATGTTCCATCAATCCTCCCATATATGCTTCTCACATACCAATTACTTTCAATTGTGTGAAGTGTTTGCTTAGTCCCTTTGCTATGTGGCGTTAGCAATATAGTTCCTCATTGTTATTATTATTATTTTTGCAAAATAATATCAGTTTACTCTAATCTGTTTCTTCCATTGCTAATGGTGCCAAAAGAGCCACTCTTGTCAATGTTTTAGCTTCACATAAATAATAGACTAGATAAAGTGACGAATGAAACTTCACTTGTTTCTTATTTTCTATGAACTTTTGGGAAGAAAATGCATCAATGCATTAAGGGTCTATAGGTTTTGGATTACTATGGGTTTGTAGTTAATCCTTGTTTACACCAGCCATTTTAGGCCCTCACTTGGGACTAAAAAGAGTAATATGGGCCCATTTGATAATTGTTGTATTCGGCTAAAAATGAGATCTGAGGGGATGTGCTGAATTTCTTGAAAGGAAAAACATTTAGTCGAGTCCAAATGAGTCAAAAGCTGAATATATCCTTATAAGCCAGATAAGGCTGCCAAACAAAGCCTAGTTTTTTTCTTTATGGATAACATGGTAAATGAGTACTTTACTTTCCAATATGAGAATAATTGTGGATAAGAGTAGTCACACCAGCTATGCCATACGGAGCAAAGTGCTGGGCGGGAAGGAAACTCATGTTATCCCTAACAAGCTTATTTGGGGAAAAGTGGGAGTGACACCTGTCCATGGAAGATAAGCTCGGAGAAACTAGTAGACATGTAAGGAGAAGTTCAGAGGCCCAGTGAGGAGATGTGATTGGCATGTGGTACTGGGTATGAGAAGGGGTAGAGTTAGACCAGGGAAGCGATAGAAGAAGGTGATTAGACAGGAGTTGCGATTTCAGAATCTTACAAATTATAAGACCTTTAGATATGAACATATGCAGATTTAGGATTAGAATATGTGTGTTTTTTTTGTGTTTTGGGTCTATTTGCTAGTGGGGTACGCGTGATTCCTGCCTTTGTGCTATTACTTTATCTGTTAATCTTTTGTTTGAACTCGGATTGGAACCAAAACAGTCTCTATACTCTCAAGTAGGGGTAAAGTTTGTCCAAACACCCTCCCCGTACCTATTTTTATGAGATTTTATTGGTTTTGTTGTTGTGTAAATTAATGTGTGACAAGTATTTCTTGTATTATTTTTTCCCCTCTTGTAGGTTGTGAAGAAACCTGGCATGATCATAAAACCTATAAGTTATGAGGATGTGGATCCTCATGAAAGACATGATGTCGAGCATAAGCGTGTGGTTGTTGGTGGTGGTGGAGATAAACGGAAGCAGAAGAAAGGTAAAAAAGGTGGTGCAAAAGCCGCAGCCTCAAAGACGACTCGGTCCAAGCCAAAACCATAGAGGAGTTTGGCTGGATATTTTTATTTTTTTACTGTAAAATACCATCTTTTTTGTAGTGATAGATATACTTTGGCTGCAAATATTTAAGTCAAACATTGTTTTCTCCTATACCATAGTTTTCTTGTCATAAAAGAATGGTATCCATCTTACCATGTATACCTTGTGATTTCATTATATGAAGTTTTCGATTTTTGTTTCGATTCCATTCTTGTAATCCTTTTGTTCCAAGATGAACTTTAGGGAGATGAAGACATTGATAAAAGTAAAGAGTGGTTTGAATTTGCTTTGAAGAAAGAAAATTTGAGACTTGTGAGCCATTTATCCCTTTCTTTGTTTCAAAAAGATTCTTAGAGTTACTATTTTGTCTTTTTGATAATTTTTGTTTGTTTATTTGTTTTTGATAATTATTTAATAAAAAAAAATCGTGGCGCTTCTTATTTTGTAATACTTTTGAACGGAATAATTTATATATTTTATTTCTATATTAACTTGTAAATAAAATAATTTTAAAAGAGATAGATATTTTTGGATGGAAGGAGTTTGTTGATTTTGTGACCACATGTTTCTTTTTTAGGAGGGATATTTTGTGAAGAAATTAATCCAAGTAGAAGTAAAATATACGGAGTATCATTTATTTTCAAAATAGGAATTTTTTGTTTTTTAAACAAGAATTTGCACTGTAATATTATGACATTATATAGTGACATTTCATTGTATTTTTTGGTATTATATGTTGACACTATTGATGGTGTATTTTTATTTTGGAGATAAAAAATGAAACTTCTATTTTTATATTTTTATCGTTTTTTATTCTTAATTTAGTCTTTTTTCCTGATTCATCACATATGTGTCTATCCACTCAAGTCCTCAGGAAAATTTTATCTTATTAAATAATGAAAAATGTTGACGGAAAATAATTTTATTTAGAAATCAGTTTTTCATAAAAAAATAAACTTCTGTAAAAATAGTTTTTGAAACCAAATGAACCATTAGGTTGCCTTTTAGGACCCAAATATCCAATCATCATTTGAATTGAGTTTGGTTACTACCCAAATCCGATCCAAAATTACCCGCATAGCGTCTTTGAGATTTTCGTCGACCCGACCCCCGTACCCGCCTGTATCGTAGAAGTTCCCACTTCCCGGTGGATGTCACCTATCTTCCCGGCGGCGGCGGCGGCGGCATTGCTTTCCCTCCTGCTCCGTTGAAAACCCTAATTTCAACCCGCCTATTCCACAATTCCAAACTATTCCGCTCTAGCATCAAGCACCTTGTCGGAATTATTGAAGGCATAAATGACCTAGGTTATCTGCCGTTTAAAACCTTCTCAATCTTTTCAATGACTCGCAGAACCTCCAATCGAATTTGCGTAGCTCACTTGGTATAAATACATATTAAAATCATTTCTAATCACTGGATTTATCTGGGTATTTTTAAATTCAAAATCCAGTTCTCCGGCAGTAGAATGTGCTTCTTCATGCAGTGCAGATTGGTGAACTGTAATTAGGTTAAACATTATTGGACTGGATATGAGCTGATTTGTTCTGAAAATGAGTAGACTATCAATTCGACCGCGGCCACTCGACTTTAACAAGAAGCTGCCCATTGTAAAATCTTTCAAGGACTTTGATGATGACATAGAGCTCCCCTCCAATACCCGCAACCAGATTCTACGCCTTGCAGCTGAAGCTGCAGAAAATGAGGTTCCTTTGCTTCACCTGGAAGTTCTTATTGACCTGTTCTTATATAACTTGCTTTGCTTGGTTTGGTGTTAATAGTTTTAATGCTTGTGATGTCAAATAGAGCTCTTTTAGTACATCATTGACCTGATTATAAGTTGTGTTCATTAGGTACATCAAGTTTCTGTCAAGAAATTGGTTTCTGAAATACCTACTCCGGAGTCGGTTATTGTAGATACATATGAAAGAGATTATTTGCCCAATTTTGCTCAACCAACGTCATACATTCATGCAAGAGGAGGTTTGTAGAGTACATAAATGATTAAGTATCTGTAAGTTCTCAGCAAATGAAGATTTTTTTGAATGTCGTTAAAATAATTATTATAGCTCGAGCTGAGCTTGGAGAATTTGTGGAGTATGATCTTGACAATGAAGATGAAGATTGGCTTCAGGAGTTCAACAAAGAAAGAAAACCCCTTCCAGCTGAAACGTGAAGACTTTATTATATTCCTCTCTCTTACTTTCTGTAACACTGATTTTCCTTGTAATTAGCATGACATCATTCAATCTCTAATACAGAAAATTTCCTTAGAAATGTTTTTAGTGTTGCATTATCTTCATTTACATTTCTTGTCTATACGGTATTTGGTAAAGAACCTTACCGTTAATGCCAATGGGTTTTTGAATATATGGAATTTCAAGTGGCGCGACTTCTTTTCTGTTGTATGATTTTTCATCAATACTCCGTATTATATTGAGTTAGAGGATTAAGATGGTCATTGCATATCCCTTCCTCTTTGTTTATGATGTTCTGCACATGAAAGCCTTGTCAACATTTCCAACAGTGTTTGCTCTCTCTTTGGGCATGTGGTTTAATGCTTGCTCTAATATCACTTGTTTGTGGACAGGCTTGAGATGATACTGTTTAAACTGGAGGTTTTAGATCATAAGACCCGGGAAAGAGCAGGAGTAATTAATCCTACTTTTGCATCACCAATTCCCGTGCTTCTTAGTTTTGATGCTGCTGTTGAGGTGAAAATCATGTCTGATTCATATGCTAGTTATATAAACTCTTAATTTTGTTTATCTTCTGAATGTTGGTCTCAGAAGAATCTTCATATATATAACTTCACGTAAGAGACATTACGTGAAGTTATATTCATTGATTGCTTTAGCAGTTTGTAAATGTTAAATATTTGTTGAAACATTAGGCTCATCCTAAAATTTGGGTTTTGTGAGTAATACATGCAACAGATTTTGTTTTTCATTAATCTAATGCATTCTTGCCAATTAATTCACAGTGATTTGTTCAAATGCTAGGCCTTGCAATCTGTTTCCACTACGTATGGAGTTTTCCAGTCTATTTATAGCTACTGGAAAGAAAAGGTACGAATCCAACAGAATGTAATGTTCCATACTTCCATAATCAAATGAATTTTTTATTGCTTATAACGGGTCTAGGGGTAAGGTTGCGTACATCTTGACAGAATTGGGATTATTCAGGGTTTGATGTTGTTGTGCAATATAACATTGCTTTACTAACTGCAGAAAACACAATACACCCATAGCCTCATCAGAACCTTGATCTCAATTCCCAACATTGTTGGGGTTGATAGCATGAAATTTCTAGTTGCAATTAACTGTCTAGGATTAGTTAACACTACAAACTCTTTCAAAAAATATATTGACAAAATTTTATGTCAGATGCCTCTCCTGTTGCAATCATATAAATAATGAATAATAATTCCGGAACTATCATTTTCATACGTTTTAGACCAAAAGTGATACAAACACCTTTGGTCATGACAGCTTTTTCATTGGCAAGATGCCTCGTTATTAACTTTTTCTTCATGGTTACAAGTGAAGCATGAAAACTCGAATGAATTCTATGTATCAAGTTCATTAATTGTTTCTTTAGATTTTTTCTCAATTTATTTCTGAAAGGTGAATGAATTGTCATGCAATCTTATCTTGGTGGGATTTTCATTTTTTTCGTCCATCAGCGTGAACGATGGCTGAAGCCTGTTCTTCGGCGCTTGCAGGTTAGTAGTGTGTCGATGTATGCTCTTGACCCAAATTTTTTTGTTTCTTTATCATTGTGTTCCATCTTATCTGTTTCTCCAACACGCTCTGGAAGTTTTACTTCTTTGACAGTGGGGAGGGGGGGGGGGTCTTTGTTGTTTGACTATGCAAATTTTGCTCAATTGGATTAAAATCCCATGATATTTTGATGGTTATTTTCGGAATTTGATTTGCAGCCACCTCCATCGGTTAATGATACCAACCCCTATAATGTATTCAGACCAAGGGAAAAGGCTCACAGACTTCACACTAGGAGGGTATGTGAATGGAGTGCCTTTTAACGATTATCTAGTTAATATTCTGCTGTGCTAATGTTTTAAGTTCTGAATCATCACTGTTGTATTCATGGCTTGTTTCACATTCTTTCCCCAGATGCAAAGGAGGGAGAACAATGTTCAATCATTTGAAAAACTTCGCCAGGTGAGCTCAAATTCCATTTGGGCAGCCAATTTGTGATGTTGGTCTTTTTCAAATAACTTGGTTTTCACTGAATATCTTTGCTACTTCAATATAAAAATGGAATGCTTTTCGAGGATGAATTCAATCAACCTATGTTGATGTCTTTAATTTATTCTTTATTTGCTTAGAAGTTCTTCATTTGTTTCCTTCGTTGGCTCCTTTTCTTTTTTTAAATCTATGATTTATTAGGTGGTCAAATCAATGTTCTTTTAGTGGTATAAACTTTGAATTGGAAGCTATTATGATCGTTTTTGCTGGTGCAACCCACTTATTGATGTCATTTGACTTTTTAACCAGAAAAACAATTTGTGTGTGTGTGTGAGAGAGAGAGAGAGAGAGAGAGAGAGTGTGTGTGTGGGGGGGGGGGGGGTT